TATGTTGAAGGCAAGTCCTGGAAGCTAACCACATAGATATATGTGAGCTCAGTTAAGACCAGAAGAACCACCCAAGTGTTGTTGCTATTATTGTTAAGTGCCATTGAGTTGATCCTGACTCATAGTGACCCTGTACAGGATAGCTATTCTTTCCAAAGAATAGCTGGTGGGCTTATCCTATAGTGCTTATCCTACAGTGCCACACCAGGACTCCACAACTTAGCCTAGCAGAAACTGATGCACAGAATTATAAGCTTAAAAAATATGTGGTCAGTTTTCCGGTCAGCTGGCAATGGCTGGTCTAGGATAGCCTTAGTTGAGCTAGATCATCTTTGCTTCATGTGGCTTCTCGTCTTCTAGCTGACTAGTCTTTATTTGCTGACTAACGGTTTCCAGTGAAGACTTCTTGAGACATAGGCTCAGAACCAACATCTTTCTCTTCTGCCACATCTTGTGGGTCAAAGAAAGTTGAGATAAAAGACTATATTCAAGGAGCAAAAGAAACAATTCCACTTCTTTCTTTTTTTTTTATGTTTTATTGTGAATTATGTGATAGTTTACATGGGAGAACATTAGTTTTACATTCATTCTATCGTATATCATTTCATTGCCATGGTTACAATCCCCTCCATGCATCATCAACCAACCAAAGGGTATACCCTGCAAGTCTGCTCCCCCTCCCGCCCCCCACTGGTCATCAGCACACAGCCCCTCTCCCTCTCTGGATCTCAAGTCTCCAGCTGCTCCATCTCTCCACGTAATCATCTCTGTCTCCATCTCAGGCATTACTGCTTCTCTGGGTAGGGTTCCGTTCTCCGCTCTTCTCCATTGATGGTCCTAGGGACCTCTGCTCCTAGACTGAAAAGGTAATCACTCCCCTCCTTGCTATAAAAGTCTACTTTTACATTTCCAACCCTCCCAATCAGTCCTGATAACAATTATTCACTATTGTATCACAAGAGACCTATCTGCATTTCATTCCATCAGCCCTGCCTAGAGAGATTGGATACTATTCACTGGAGAGTCTACCTTCCTCCAGGCCCTTTGGATCTAGGTTCCCTCTTAAAAGCTTGTAAGCCAGTCACTTCTTGCCTTTGTAGCTTCCCCACCCCCATTTTGGGTAGCCAATGTCCAAGTTGCTCATCCCTGTCTACTCTGTGTATGGAGGAGGAGGGAATGATGCTTGCTGTAAGGATTTATTTCCTCTTTTGAGCTACTGCATCCATAGGTGTAGGTCAAGTTCATCAAATTGTATCAGATTACTCTTTTTTTCCTCTTCTTTCTTCTTCTACGTAAGCTCTGTTCATCCAGTCATTGAAGCCAGGTCAAGTGGGTATTATCTGCAAGTGTGGGTGTTCTTGTGCATATGCCCTCTCTTCTTATCAGCTGGACGCTTCACTCTCCACTCTAGTCCTCTGTGGCTATGTCACTGACTCTGGGCCCAAGAGTCCCCAGGTCTTGCCACACTGCTGGCCAACCAGGTCTTCACCCGGGTTCACAGGACTCTATTGAACATTGTAGGGCTTAGCTCGCTGCTTCATTGCTGTTTTTCCCTCACTTCCCCTTATCAGAGATGAGCGTGGTCACCAACAATTCCACTTCCTGGTAGCAAAATTACATAGAGGAAAACAAGAGTTTTATGAATATAGAAAGTGGTATTTATTGTATCCCTGTATTTGTGGCCTATAGTGATAATGGTTTAGAGAATAAACTCTGGGATCAGAGTAGAATCATTCTGACCATTTTTGTAAGCATTCTATAAGACTTACCATCATAGCATTGCCTCTTGGTAAGTCAATCCTTATCTGTGGTGAAACCTCAGATACGTCTGCGAGTTTGCTAGCTCTCTCTTCAACGATGACTAATTTGCTCTGTAACGATCCACTGAATTTTTCATTTAAGAGACTACATTATTAATTTCCAGTTCTATTTGATTTTTCTCAAATTCACCTAGTCTTTTTTTTTCATGGTATAGTTCTTCACTCGTGCTTTTAATTCTTCACTTTTTATTTTAAACATACTTATTCATAGTCAAGGAGCCCTGGTGGTACCATGGTTAAACTGCTGGACTCCTAACTGAAAGATTGGTGGTTCAAACCCACCAGCCACTTTGAGGGAGAAAGATGGGACTATCTGCTTCTATAAAGACTCACAGCCTTGGAAAACCTCTGGGGCAGTGCTGACAGTCCCTCTGAGTGGTACTCAACTTGATGGCAATGGGATTTTATCTTCTCCATCACTTGGTTCTCAGGTGTTTCGTCTCGCTGTCTGTGGGTCTCCACAGTTTGTGCATGATTGATAGTTTCTTTCTGTGCACTGTAAACGTATCCTCATTGGGGCTTCACCTGTGGGAGTCCTATGTGACCTTAGTTGAAGACCTTGTGAGCATATTTGAAGTTTGCTTCTGTTAAGCACCCCACGAATACTTCTAGTCTGAGACCAATATTTGTGTTAATCATTGACTTTTAGGGTTTGGGCATAGAGTCAATTTGAGTATGAAACTTGTGTTGGCAATAGTCCATGGTAACAAACTATTAGGGTGTTTTTGCCAGTCCAGGTTGAGACAGACAAATTTCCTTTTTAATCTCTCTGTGCTGAAATCTTACTAAGGATCTTCTTCACCCATGCCACCCCTTACCCCGGACATTTCACTGAGCACGTTTCTGTAGACACTCCCAGTTTTAGTTGGGTCTCAGGTTCAATCCCTGCCTTAGGTGGGTCCAAGATCCCACCTAGGATGACAACTTGCTCCCACTTTCTGCTTCTATCTGTTCTCTTTAATTAGGGTATTAGTGTCGTTAAGTGCAGTCAAGCCGGTTCCAACTGATAGCGACCCTGTATAGGGTTTCCGGGAGTGGCTGGTGTGTTTGAACTGCTGACCTTGCGGTTCAAACAGACCTAATGGCCCAGTGCATTATCCTGCAGTGCCACGCCACGTGGCTGTGGCCAATTACCTTGGTGCCCAGATTTGGTTCTTTCTTCATTTCTGGTTCTTGGTGATTTCTATTTGTATTTCAATTATTTTGAGTTTAAAGGACTTTTTTTTTGGTATTAATCTAGCGTTCTGAGGTGTTTTCAGTCATCTGATGTATACTGTTCACAACAGAAGTCCAAATGTACACACAAAGTAATGAATTGAAGAAAAAAAAAGAATCACAATTACACATTTTTGTGGTTGTTGTTGTTAAGTGCCATTGAGTTGGTTCTGACCCACAGGGTTTCCAAGGAGTGGCTGGTGAGCTTGAACTGCCAGCCTTGCGGATCAAACCAATTTTACAGTCCAGCGCATCAACCCACAATGCCACACCAGGACTCCTATATATTTTTAGGACCCTTAAAGTCAACAGATGGCCTCCTGGTGTGGTGCTGTAGGATTGCAGCACTGGACTGCAAACCACAAAGTCAGCAGTTTAAACCTCTGAAATCCTATACAGGGTCACTGTGAGTTAGAACCGACTTGACGGCACTTAACAACAACAAAGCCAACAGAAGCTCTGCAGGAAACAGTTTAATACGCACTGATACACTGAGGGGAGAACTTGGGCTTCTTGGCCATTCCAACCCTAGCATTCTGATGCTCTGCTGCTTGGGGCAAGTTCCTTAGCATCTCTGAACCTTGAAAAGCATTGAGCTGCTAAGTGCAACATCAGCAGTTCAAACTCATCAGCAGGAAAGATGAGACTGTCTGCTCCTGTAAACATTTACAGTCTCGGAAATCCTATATAGAGTTGTTACAAATCAGAATTGACTCAATTGCAGTGGGAAGAGATGATCATACCTAACTCCCAGGACCACAGAGAGACTTGTATGGGGAAATCTTGGCTCTGTGAGGCTTGAAGTAGGAGCTCTCCAAATTGAGCCTTTGGTATAATCTGGAAAATCCCCCTTGGTGTAATGCCTCTCTGCCCAGCTAGGTAAATGAAGGCTACGCTGGTGCCAGGTTTCCGTGAATTGTTGCAGGCTGTTTTAAGCTCAGCCTAGGACAGACAGAATGTTCCTGAGAAGTGAGGATGGCCAGACTTCATCTCTTAGACTTTGGACATGTTGTCAGGAGGGACCAGTCCCTGGAGAAGGACATCATGCTTGGCAATTATTCAAAATCAAAAGGGCAACATTTTCATTTTCCTAAGGCCAAAGTTGAGAAGAGTTGGGGAGGTGTGTAGAATGCAAAGGAATCACAGGGAGGAAGTGGGATAACTATTGTTACATGAAGGGGGTTGTAATCACTGAGATGCAACAGTGTATGTATGATTTATTGACTGTAAAACTGAGGATCTTGTCTGTATACTTTCACTCAATTCATAATAGTTAGGAAAAAAACACGAGGAGATTAACAATGGGTTCAAACCTAACAGTGTTGAGGATGGCCTAGGGCCAGACAGTGGTCTCTTCTGTTGTGCAGAGGGTCACTCTGAGTCCGAAGCTCCTCACGGCATTTTAACAACAAATATCAACGGTGCATCGGTGCAAAGTATGGGTTAGGCAGAACTGAGGATCCGGGAGACCAGATCTCTCCTGTTCACGCGCGATGACTGTTCCCCCACCAGCTCTGAGCAGGGACTCCCTCCCCACTGACCTCAATTTCCAAGCAACCAATTCATCCCGGGTATCATGTGGTATGATGGGGGTTGGAAAAGTACCCCACCTGCCTTTCCCTGGCCAGGATGGGGGACACCCCAGCGGCGGCGCCCTCCGGGGAGGCCCCTGTTAATAAGAAAGACATTTCTGTCTCTGATTCCGCATCGGGTTTCACACTTCCCTTCCTCGGGACAATCCCGACCTTCACTGGGAAAGACCCTTTGCAAACACACGCGCGCACATGTATTTTTGGAAGAAGAGGAAAAATTCCAAGAGAACTTCTGCTTGGTTAAAAATGAAGTGAAGATTATATTAAGAATGAAAGCCGAGCAGGGCCGCTGGGGCGCAGACAGAGGGTCCTTTCATCGCGCCAGGCCGCGCGCCGGAGGCAGCTGCCAACACAAACGCGGGCGGAACCGAACCTGCGGAGCAGTCGTCCGCGCTGCCAGGCCGCGCTCGCCGCTCGGGGCTGGCGCCGCGCACGTTTCCGCTCTGCTGACGCGGTGAAAACGGCGGCAGGCGGCCACTGAAACCCTAGACGAGGCCCCCAGGTGGGGCCCCAGTTCTGCTGCCGGCTTCCCCTCGCTGGGAAAGGGGTCCCTCCCCCAGCACTCTTCCGCTGAAGCCCAGGACCCCGTCCCTCCACTGCTTCCTTCGAGCCCCCAGCAGCATCTGTGCCCCTCCTGCAACCCCCGATCCAGGTTGAGTACCCCCCAAACTAAAACCGAACTCGCTGCCATGGAGTAGATTTTGACTCACGGCGACCTAGGATACGGTAGAGCTTTACTGCAGCAGACAACCTCATCTTTCTGAGCCCAACGACTAACCCACAGCAACACCCAGGCTCCTGGAGTGCCCCCTTCACCCCACAACAAAAAGCCCACCTATTCCAGTGAAGGAAGGCTCATGGCCTTGCGTGGCCTGGAATAGCACCGCTGGCTTCCCATGTGAATTTCCTACTGGAGGCAGGGTAGCTTGTGGTTGGCCGACAGTGGGCTTTAATTCCCATGACTGTTGTGAAAATGGACGTTCTTCCCTACCCCCTGGTTTGGTGTGAGACCGAGGAAAGAGGATATAAAGGCTGGAGGGCGGCCATCACTTTCTCTATAATGACCTGGCCAGGGTGTCACTCTCCGGGCTACTGCCCAGATTCCTCCACAAGGTGCTTCCTCCCACTCTCCCGAAGATCAATCACTGTTCAGAATCCGCAGAGACTCCCCATGGTGGACCAATTCCCCAGCCTGGCTGCAGCAGCGTCCTTCTTCCCCAATTCTGCCTGTCACGCCTACTCTCCCACTTCAGTAGAGGCACTGATGCAGTTGGCAAATCAGAGAACCCTACCCACTTTCCTGATTGGTTCAGGGATGGGCAGTGACCCAAGCTAAGCCAATCAAAGTCTTCCCTGGACTGATTGGTTCAGGGATGGGCTGTGACCCAAGCTAAGCCAATCAAAGTCTTCCCTGGACTGTTCGTCCAAGAACTGACAGGGAAGACTGAGTCTCGCGACTGGGTTAGAAGAGTCTTGAAGCTGCCAAGGCTTAGGCTTGGAGAAAGAGTTGCTTCAAAGAAAATGAGGGTGACAGTGAGAAGCAGAGATGAGAAATGAAGTCAGTGAGGGGGCAAGAAAGAAAGAAGAAAACTCAGAGACGGTAAAATCATCCGTGGTCCCCAGGCCCCAGCGCCGTTCAGACAGACCCACACCTGGACTGCGCAGTGAGCAAAGCCGGTCTGTTCTTTTTGAGTTTAAGATGGGTTTCTGGTACTTGAAACTAAAAGCGTCCTGCCTAATACCCTCCCCGCTATCTGAAACACAAGGAGCTCTGGTAGCGTAGTGGTTACAAATCAGGCTGCAAACCGCAAGGTCAGCAGTTCGAAACTACTAGCCGCTCCACGGGAGAAAGATGAGGTTTTCTGCTCCCATAAAGATTTTACAGGGGTCACTATGAGTGGGAACCGACTCAACAGCACTTAACAATAACATCTGAAATACACTTGGCATTCATGGCTGTTCACCTGGTGTGCTCTGCTCCCCATCAACTCTTGGCCCCTTTACACTTGTCCAGTCCTTTAACATTTACAGAGGACTTGCACAGGTGTGATCTGAGGTGCACCTCACCACAGTCCAGGTGTCAGATGAGGAAACTGCACCTAGTTATGAAGTAATGTATCTGAGGTCACATAGGCAGTAAGGGAGGTGGATGAAACTGAAACCAGGTTTTCTCAGATCATGGCCAGTGTTCCCAAGCCCACCCAGCCGTTCTCCCTGAGCTTCCACATCCTCTTAAGGACTGGCTGCCCCTGAACCCCACACCTGTGTGTTTCCATGGCACAACAGAGTTGGTTTTCCCTTGTTCTCTCTGTCTAGTTATGTCTATATCTCCCACAGAGCTTTCTGCAGGAATGCCTGTCCTTCTATTCTGTTCTCCCTGCCCTTGTCCGAACTTGAAGCCTGTATTATCAGTCCTTTGGCATTGCTGTTTCAGATACTGTGGGCTGGGTGGATGTACTTCCATCTTGCTCCAGCAGGTATCAGAGGCAAGAGCCTGCCTTATACCTCTTTAGACCTGCCTTTTGAATTGTTGCTGTTGTTAAGTGCTGTTGAGTCAGTTCCGACCCATAGTGACCCTGTATAGGGTTTCTGAGGAGTGGCTGGTGAGCTTGAACCACCAACCATACAGATCAGACTGACTTTTCAGTCCAGAGCATTAACCCACAGCACCACATCAGGACTCCAGAAGCGACCACCTGTGATAAGTGATTGGATTTTGGTAAAGACAAGAGAGGAGTCAGTACAGTGATCTCCAGGCCTGTGTGCTATCGTTGTCCTAGCTCAGTAATGTGAGAAAAGGCCCCGGTTACCCAGGAGAGACAAGGGGACACTGTCTCAAGAATCCTAGAAGTACAAAACTAGAGCTTCAGAGAGGCTGGAGTTGGACATGGAGGCTTGGGAGGCTCTGGGGTAAAGATGGAGGCAAAGGTCTTGGGAGTTGATGCACTTCTCCAAGATGAACAAATTCAGATGGAAATTTTGATAAAAGACAAAACTTCAACATTTAAGGCTTAGAGAGCTCTGGTAGCGTAGTGGTTATAAATTGGGCTGCTAACCTCAGGGTCAGCACTTCGAAACTACCAGCTGTTCCACGGGAGAAAGATGAGGCTTTCTGCTCCTGCAAAGATTTACAGCATCGGAAACCCTGTACAGGGTCACTATGGGTCGGAAACGACTCGACGGCACTTAACAACAACAACAACAAGAGGAAGGGGGTGTGGAGGAAGGTGGGGACGAGGACAATGAACGAGACAGAGAAGAACAAGCAGAATGGTTTGTGAAAGTCACATGAGAAGACATTTTAAAGAAAGGATTGTTCAAAAGTGGAGGGTGATTCCAGAGTTGGATGTTGTTGTTAAGTGCTGTCGGGTCTGTATAGCGATGCTGTATAGGGTTTCTGAGGAGTGGCTGGTGAGCTTGAACTGCCGACCTTTCAGTTTAAACCAACTTTGCAGTCCAGCATATTAACCCACAGCGCCACACCAGGACTCCCAGAGTTGGATTGGATTTCTTTCCACAGGGAAAGTGCCCATTGACAAGTCAACTAACAAGGTTGCTGTAAACTAGTATCAACCAACAGCAGAGCAACGTTCTGGAATGTTGGGGCTGGAATCTGACAGAAACAGGCCAAGGGACAACTGATGGACAAAGAACTGAGAAAGCAAGTATGAGGAGGGCTTCAAAAAGTCTGCAGAAAAATTGAATGTAACGGTAGTAGAATTTTTCCACAAACTTTTGGAAGCCCCTGTGTACAGACGAATTAGCCAAAGAACCTGGTCAATTTGGGTTTAACAATGAGGAGGAAGATGCACTGAAAACAGCAAGACATTGTTGAAAAAAATTAGAGAGCTAAATAAATGGAAAGACATTTTGTTCATAGTTTGGAAACTTAATATTAAGATGGTAATACTCTGCACATTAACCTACAGATTCTAAGCAATTTCTATCAAAATCCCAGGTCCCCCCCCCTTTTGCCCCCCCCAGAACTTTATCCTAAAATTATCATGGAATGCAAAGGATCCAGAAGCGCCAAAACAATCCTGAAAACGAAGAAACAAGTAGAAGCACTCAAATTCTCCACTTCAAAACCTACAGCAAAGCTATAAGAATCAAAACTGCATGGTACTGGCATAAAGATAGATATCTGGATCAATGGAATAGAATTGAGAGTCCAGAAATAAATCCATACATGTGTAGTAGTTAATTTTCAACAAGAGTGCCAAGACCATTTGATGAGGAAAGCACTATTGAACAAATAGTGCTGAGACAATTGGGCAAACAGATGCAAATAGATAGTTGGACTTCTACCTCCCACCATATAAATAATTTATTGAGAATGGATCAAACATCTGCATATAAGAGCTAAAGCAGAAGACTTAGAAGAAAACAGAGGCATACATTTTTGTGGCCTTGGATTTGCCAATGGATTCTTATATATAACACCCAAACTACAAGCAACAAAAGAAAAAAAAAAAAAAAGCTAAATTTAGATTTCAACAAAATGGAAAAAATTTGTGCCTCAAAGGACATCATCAATAAAATAATAACTCACAGAATGGGAGAAAATATTTGTGAATCATATATCTGATGATGAACTTGTGCCTAGACTACATAAAGAACTTTTACAAGTCAACAGTAAAAAAAAATTATCCAATTAAAATAAGGCTAAAGAATTTGAATAGACATTTCACCAAAGAAAATATATAAATGGCTAATAAGTACATGAAAAGATGCTTAACTTCATTAGTCATTGTTGTTAAGTGTAGTGGAGTTGGTTCAGACTCACAGTGACCCAGTATGGGGTTTCCAAGGAGCAGCTGGTGGGTTTGAACTGCCAATCTTACAGTTAAATGCAGTGTTTAAATGCAGATCAAAACCATAGAGAGATGCCACTTCATACTACTTTTTTTAAAAAATTGAAAGAGAAAGAACAGTGTTGGCAAGCATGAGGAGAAACAGGAGTCTTCACATATTGCTGACACGGATGTAAAATACTGTCGCCACTGTGGAAACAATTTGGCAGTTTCTCAAAAGGTTAAACATAGAGTTATCATATGACCCAGTAATTCCACTCCCAGGTATATACCCAAGGGAATTGAAAACATAGGTCACATAAAAACTTGTCCATGAATGTTCATAGTAGCATTCTTCATAAAAGTGAAAATAATCCAAAAGTTCACCAACTGATGAATGGATGAACAGAAGGTGCTATATCCATACAATGGAATAGTATTCAGCCGTAAAAAGGAATGACATGTGGCTATATGCTACAATATAGGTAAAACAAAATAAAACATGCTAAGTCAAAGAAGCCGGACAGAAAAGGACACATGTTGTATGGTTCTGTTTCTATGGGATGTCTGGAATGGATTAAGCCATAGAGACAGAAAGTAGATTAGGGGTCACTGGGGGCAGGGGGCTAATAGGGATGGAGTTTCTTCTTGGGGTGATGAATATGCTCTGGAATTAGAAAGTAGTCATTGTT